CTTTATTCCCGTGCTTATGCCGACGGAATGTAAGTATTTGTCTCTTCTTGTGATGCCTCGGATGTGCCGTGAAACTACATTGAGGAGAGCACGAGGCGTTAGTGTCCGTGTTATTTTTTTGGGCGCCACTGCTCTTTTTGGGTGTGTGATCCGACTGTGTGGTGGGTCGGTTGAGGGGGAGGACGTGGATGGGCCGCGCCTACCCGACTGCTGTGCCTTATTTTGCTGAACGCCCTGACCGAATTGCTGCTCTCCTTTTGCTTGCCCTGCCGGGCCTGGCGACCTCTTGAGGAGCGGTGCGACGGCGTGGACTGTCGGGCTGCTGAGGAGGCCGTGGCTGCGCGGGATGTCCTGCGGTACTTTTTGCGTTTCGGGACTACTGTAGAGAAGAGGACATTTCATGCCTCCTTCACGTCCAGGAGAGTCAATGGAGGGATCACGGTTGTGGGATCTCACTTCACGAGAGCCTGCGCCCGTTGGTCGCGTCGACGGTGCGCTCTGTGTGTCTTCGATCCCTGCCGGAGCATCCCGCTGTTTTTGTTCCGGTGAACGGGAACATCCACCGACACGCCGAGCGGGTTGCGGGGATGTTGCGGCGAGGAACGCTTTAATAGAGGCCCTGCGGTGAGGGAGCGCTGCTTGCAAGGATCCCGCAGCACTTGGGATTTTTCTTGCACTTACTTTCTGCTGTCTGTCTGTTGGTTGGTGCCGTTTGCCGGAGGGTGTATTGGCCCGTGCGCAAACGTCAGTGTCTCTGCTTCTGCCTGCGGCCTCACAGTGCTTGAGCCGTTGTTGACGGGGAGAGTAATTACTGTAGCGGTTACGACGACGCTGGTGTGTTACACTGTGGATGGCGGCGCCACCCTTTCTTCTGCCACGCTCTGTTTTGGTGCTTTTTAAATTTTAATTTGATTTCCTGCTCGCAAACACACTCAAACTGGGAAGGAAAACAAACGCTAATCGATACTGTGAAGTTCGAAGGCACTGAAAGGATCAACACACACACCGCACACACACACATATTTATATGCTCTCACGTGTTGCGGCTGTCATGGCACCCCGCACACACAACCGTTGCCGCGTGACCGGATCCAGCGGAAGGAGGAGGGAAGGAGGAGAGAGTGAGCCGCAGAGGCCCAACATGTCCCGGCGTGTGTTTGCTTCCGCGGTGCTGCTCCTCCTCCTTTTTGTGACGTTGCGCTGCGGTACTTGTGGAGCCACGCCTGCAAAGGAGAATGATGGCAAGAATGATTTAAGAAGTGTTCAGGAGCCGGAGAGGGTCGATCTATTTTTTCCACAGACGAAGGTGTTGCAGCCGAGGGATGAGGTTGTTCCGGGTACGACGAGGGATTCGTTTGCTTCACCCTTTCTCGTCAGTGCTGGTGGAGTGGTGGCTGCTTTTGCCGAGGGTCACATTTGGATGCCGAATGTCAAGGTGGTCAATTAACTAAGCCCTTTTCTTCCGATTTTGTTGCGGGGTACATTGACCCTGCGTAGAATTGTTCCACTCTTGTTGGTGAGGTCAATAAAAGATACACGGAGGGCACAAACTGTGCTTGGTGCAGCGGAGGGAAAGGAGGGTCTGGGTGTTGTGCACCACTCCACAACAGTCACGAAGGGCCACGGAGTGTTTCTTCTTGCGGGAGGCTCGGATGTGTCCTACGAAGGTGGGTGTTGGAGAGAGGGCGGCTTGGAGCTGCAACTGGTTGTGGGCGATGTCACGAATCCCACGGGTGGCAAGCGGAGTGGACGGATCGAATGGGGCGGCCCCAAACACTCTCGAAACTGATCTCTTCTGCTTCTCACGAAGGTGAACGGACGGAGTTCATTGCTTTCGGTGGCTCAGGTGTTGTGATGGAGGATGGCACCTTCCTGTTTTCTCTGATGGCGAGGAATGAGGCAGAATACGTTTGCTCCATGACCATTTACTCGACGGACAACGGCAGCAGCTGGGCGCTCACTGAGGGCATGTCCCCTGCGGAATGCCTTAACCCCGCGTCAGCGAGTGGGAGGGATCACTTCCCATGATTGTTGACTGCGAGAATGGCCAGAGGGTGTACGAGTCGCGTGACATGGGGACAACGTGGACGGAGGCCATCGGGAACCTTTTAGGCGTGTGGGTCAACTCAGGATCGGGAGACTCTCAGAAAGAAAGCCTGCGTGTGGATGCCCTCATCACCGCGACCATTGAGGGAAGGAAGGTCATGCTGTGCACTCAGAGAGGGTACGCCTCGGTGGAGAATAGGGCCAATCCGCTTTACGTTTGGGTCACGGCTAACAACCGCTCGTTTTATGTTGGACCGGTTGCCATGGACAGTGCTGTGAATTGGGAGCTCGCCAGCACCCTGCTGCACTCGGACGGGGATTTGCATCTTTTACGACGGAGGGGCAACGGTGAGGGCCGTGCCATTTCACTTTCCCGCCTGACGGAGTAAGTGAGTGCAATCAAGTCTGTCCTCAGTGCTGGGGTGCAAAAGGACGCCTTCTTCTCCAGCGTGTCAATACCCACGGCGGGTCTGGTGGCAGTTTTGTCCGATGCGGCCAGTGATGGCACGTGGAACGACGAGTACCGTTGCCTGCATGCGACGGTGACGGATGCAGTGAAGGACAACGATGGGTTCCGATTCACGGGACTTGAGTCCAGGGCAATATGGCCCGTGAACACTCGGGATGATGAAGTGCGTCATGTATTCTTGAGCCACCACTTCACACTTGTGGCATCGGTGACCATCGAATAGGCCCCGAGTGGGAACACTCCTCCACTGACTGCGGTGCTGGCGGACACTGCGTCCAATCGTACCATGGGACTGTCGTGCAGCCAAAATAAGAAGCGGCAGACGGCGTTCGAAGGGACGACAACAACACGGAGGAGCACTTGGGTGCCAAAGGAAGAAAATCGAGTGGCACTTATGCTGCAAGGCAACAAGGCCTCTGTGGACGTTGATGGTCAGTTGCTGGCGGAATAGGAAGAGGTGCCGTTAACAGGTCAGAAGCTACCTGAGGTCCTGAGGTTTTGCTTTGGCGCGTGCTGTGGGCACTAATCCCCTGTGACGGTGAATGACGTCTTTCTGTACAGCCGCCCACTGAACTCCACTGCGATGCGTGCACCCAAGGACAGGGCCCCCGCTCCGACGAGTGAAGCGGCTCCGACACCACCCGAGAAGATTCGAGTATTTGACAGCGTCAGGGAGCACATTGCTGGGAATATTACCGAAGAGAAATGAATGAGCACCACGCCCTGGACACGAATTCCCATTACAAATAGTCACCTCGCAGAGTGTGGAGCGGCGTGAGTCCCGACGACCGCCTCGCCTCTCCCAACGACGTGGAATTGACACTGCGTGATTTAGGCGCTAACAACACCGGTGCGTGTGTGCGTGTCTTGTGTGTTGCTGCTTCTACTGGGATTGTATTTGGGTGGTGGCAGCTTTCTGAGCCACGGAGTACGGATCTGCGACGCCTCACGGAGAATACGTGCTGCACTGCCCACCCTTTTTCACTTATCTTTTATTTCTTTAATGTTTTTACTTTTAAATGTCTTTTTAATGCAGTTCAGCTGGAGCAGTAAGTACTGTTGTTTCTTTGCGTAATGTTCGGCTGCTGCACACTGTAATGAGTGACGTGTTTCCCGCTCTTGTTTGCTTTTGTTTTTGCCCACACGCGGTGCCGGCCCTGCGGCTGCGCGTCCCACGGACTGCACGAAACGAGGTTAGGAAGAGCAGGCCGGATGCCGCATGAAATGTGAGGGATGTTGTGTGGGCTGGTGGAAGAGTGCAATCTCTTTTATTTATTTTAATTTTTCTTTTTCTTTTCTTGGTGCGGGCAATGTGTATATAAACACGGTCGCTTCGTGCTGCGTGGCACATGAAATAAAAGTCCTGCCGCATCAATTTTTCGTTTTATTTTTTGGAGTTATCCCGGACTCCCACCCTTTTCTTTTTTTAAATCCCTGCGGCTTGTTTCTGTAGTTGCCGTATCTGCTGTCACTGTGTGTCTCCGTGTCCCGTTGACTGTTCCTCTGCTGACTTTGCAGTTGACATGCCCTCGTTCCTTTTCTTTCCTTTTTTCCGCTAGAGGCACTGATGTTCCGCTACGACGATTGTTTGTGTTCCCCATTGCGATGGCAGGAGGGTGACTGGGCGGCGGCCTGCTGAGTGCGCTCGGAGGGAGCGGACTGTGTGCGCCGTGCCTCACTGTGGGTGTGGGACGCAATGCCAACCCGCCGGGGAAGCGAGAAGTGAAGGACTGCGGTGTTTACTTGTATGTGCCCGTCCCTCTCTTTGCCGCCGTGTCTGTGCTGTGCGCATGGCTCTATCCTGCGGTGCGACGCCGATGGCGCTGCTATTTGCTGCCTTCGTATGTGCGTTGTGCTTCTCCTCTCCATGACACCGCCCTTGTGTGCGGGACAGTGAAGGGAGTGGAGATGTGTGCGGGAGTGAGGGTGGCCGTTGTTTCCGTACATTTGGATCTTCAGACACGTGGCACCACTCGGCAGCCTCTCGCAGTTCCCAGGCCGTGGAACGAGAGGGTGTGAGGGTCTGCTCCAAGCAGAAGGACGACAACGAGATGCAGTGCATGACGGCCAACCTGACTGGTGTGTGGTTGCGGCGCATGGAGCACGTGCGCCAGTACGCGTTGGGCTTTGCGCTCATGATTGTGGAAGGCGGCACGACGTTGCGGCGCAGCGGGAGCGCATGACGGACTGCCTGTGCTGTGAGGGGCGCGTGTTGGAGTGAGCGTGTCGTGCCTGTGAGGGACTGAGGAGAGAGGGAATAACAGTAGTGGTGACTGTGGGAGTGTGAGGAACGGTGCACGGGCGAGGAGCGCCCTCTTTTGTTTTTTGATTGTTGTTGAGCCGCGCCCACCCAAATGTTGTTGTGGTGTGTGACTCTCATTGCTGGATGGGACGGTGCGTGGTTGCGTGACTTTTCTCTCCTTTTGCTTTTTGCGTTGACGGGGAGTTAGTTTGTGCTGAAGGCTACACGCAAGTGACAGGAGTGATGGCGATGACGATGACTGGCCGTGTGCTGCTGGTGTGTGCCCTCTGCGTGCTGTGGTGCGTTGCCGGCGGTGTTTATGCGAGGGACGTTGACACCAACGCACTGGGTGGCTGCATGGCGTCGGGAGTGTTGGGTGAGAATGGATCCCACATGCCTGACGGATGTAATAAAACGGCGATTACGGTGCCTTTGCGGTCAGTACTGCCCATTGCTGCCGTCGAAGCCTCGGATGGAAAAGGCGGTTCTGCTGGTGGTACACAGAACGATTCGAATTCAAGTGGGACTTCCGACGCTGGTGCTAATGGTTCTGCTGGTGCTTCTCCTGCTGATGGTGTTCCTGCTGCTGCTGTTCCAGGGGCTTCTGGTACTGGTTCTCCTCGTGCTGGAGGCGGTGGAGGCAGTGGAACTGCTGCTGGCGGTCAAGGCGCCGGCAGCGTTTCTTCTGGTCCTTCTGCTGCTCCTGGTGGAGGCGGTGGCGTTCCTTCTGGTGGCGGTGGAGGCGGTTCTGCTGTTGGTGGACCTGCTGGTGCTTCTCCTGGTGTCGGTGGAACTTCTACTGGTGGTACACAGAATAATACGAATTCAAGTGAGAATCTCGAGTCTGGTGCTTCTGGTGGTGGACCTGCTGGTGGTTCTGGTGGTACTCCTACTGGAGGTGATTCTGGTGGCGGCAGTGGAGGCAGTTCTGGTTCTGGAGGAAGCAGTGGAACTCCTACTGGAGATCAAGGCACCGGTGACGTTTCTTCTTCTGGTGGAGGCGGTGGAGGCGGTGGAGGCGGTGGCGTTTCTCCTACTGGAGGTCAAGGCACCGGTGGTACTTCTGCTGCTGTTCCAGGGGCTACTGTTGTTGATTCTTCAGCTGGCAGCAGTGGTGGTGAAGCGGGGTCCTCAGGCACTAATTCATCTAACACAACAGGAGAATCTTCAACAGGAGATCAGACGTCTGCTGCAGCAGCGGCTCACAACTCCTCGCTACCCGAAATACCGGCAGGAAAAACATCCGACACTGGACACACACGAAAAGAAGAAGAAGAAATGCAGCAGCAAAGTGATGAAACACAAGTCCAACAACAACAACAGCATGAACACCCCGCGGAAAACGGCGAAGAATCCGCGAAAGATAAAAACGCCCTTCGTGCAAATGCCACCGCAAATACAGGCGACAGTGACGGCAGCACCGCGGTCTCCCACACCGCCTCCCCTCTTTTTCTTCTTCTTGTTGTTGCGTGTGCGGCTGCTGCTGCGGTGGTGGCCGCGTGAGAGTGAGGGAGAGAGAGCCGTGCACCGCCCGCACACACACTCGTCCTTCTCTCTCTGTGTGTGTGTCCCCTTGCATGGACTCCCGCCCTCACCTCACCCCACGAGGCACACACATAATGTGCCCATTGTATATATGCATGCACACCCATGCAGGCCCGCTGGTGCTCTCTTTTGCAGCACACGCACCGCTGCCGTCCTGCCTGGCTGCATGGACGGAGCACCGTAACTGTTTCTGTTTTGTTTCCATTGCATTGAGTGGGCGACCTCTCTCTCTCTCCCTCTGTGTGTGTGTTTTGCTTTACGGGAGCAATGAGAGTGTGTGCGCTGGTCGTCCCACGCTTTGTTTTGTTTTGTTTTTTTGTGAGTTTAATTTTTTTTACTGTTTGCTTTAAATTTTTTGCCAGTCTTTTTTTGTTATTATTTTGTCCGTTTTTTTTTTTATTACTGACCCCCTCATCTTTCTTTTTTGCTTTGGGGGCAATCACTATGGACGTTTTTCTTTTCTACTCTTCCCTCTTTAATTGTTTGTTGCTGCACTCTTCCTGCGAGGGGTGCCGTGTGTTCCCGCCCAACTGCTCCACTCGCACACCCACCGACACGCTCATGACGACGGCCCTGTGCGCCTCGCCTGCTGCACGCATGAGGAGGGGCCGCGACGAACGGCGCGCTGAGGGGCCGTGACGTGTGGGCGTGCGACGAGTGCCTGTGGGGCGGAGCACACATTTATTCCCTCTTGTTTTGTTTTATTGCGGCCAGGGCTGGCAGACACCCGCAGCGCCGCACACACACAGCCACACCCTGCCGCCGTGTTTTTCTTTAAAGTAATTTTTTTTTTGCTTCTCGTGTTTATTTCTCGCGCCGGCAGTTCCTTCGGTGTCGGCCTCGTGAGCATTTCTTTTCCCCTCCGATGATTTTTTCTTTTGCTGCGCTCACTCTCCCGATGGAGTGACGCGACTCCCGTCATGTCTGCGTGCTTCTCTCAGTCCCCACACACACGAGTGACTGTGCTCTGCGGGCCGCACTCACGCGCCGATGAGAGGGCTGAGGGGAGCGGCAACACGCAGATGACCGCATGAAATATAAACGATGTGCGGACACGCAGAGGGTCAGACGGTTGAAAGACATTTAAATATCTTTTAATTTTCTTTTGCGGGCAAAATAAATGCGGACAGTTTGGTGTGGCCACACGGCAGCCGGCTGCTTTTTAAATTTGTGTGGAACAGTAATGGACGATTTCTTTTTTTATTTATAATTATTTTGTGTGATGGGGTTTATTTAAGACGAAGGGGAAAGTTGTTTTTTTTTGGGGGGAGGGGGGTTTTAAATAAATCTTTTGTGAATTGCCATTGCTTGGGCTGCGGTGCAGTCATGAGTTTGAGCGGTCTTCTTCTTCTTGTTGTTTCCGCCATGCACCTCCGCTGTACATTTTTGTGCGTCTCTCCACATGCTCTGGTCGCTGTTTTTTTTTTGTTTTGTGTTTCTGCAGGCACACAAACACACAACCACAAGATGCACATTGCAGTGGATTTGAATGCTCCTTTTGCAGTGCATGTTGGCAGTCGCGCTCTTTTGCTTCTGCTGCTTGTCCGTGTGCGTGACGGCTGCTGGGAGTGCTGGAGATGTATCTGGTGATGCGGATGCGGTGGTTGTGCCGGTGGATGTGTCGTGTGCTCCGAGTGACGGCAGCCTGAGCTATCGCGTGCGTGTGTGTGTGTGGGCGTGGAAGAAGTGTTCTGCAGCCAGTGCTGAGGCTCAGTGTGAGAATTACACTTTCAGTGGCTTTGGTGTGCGCATGCATGGCAGGAATGGTGAGCTGGGTGCTGTGTGCCATGTGGCCCATGCGGTGCACACATGTAGCAACTGTGCTGCCAGCTGTGCAGCGGAAGAGGAAGGAGCCACCGTTGCCTCCACGATGAATGTGACGGCACACAAATACGCCGGCCCTTATGAATTGTGGTGGCGTCAATTTTCCCCCGATGGAACAATCCATCCGCCTGCACGGAGCGGCGATGCTGACCGGACGGGCATCTGTCAGTTGCCGCCACCCCGTGAAGGGAAGGATGACACAAAATCTGGTGGGACAACTGCGCCGCAAGTCAATGCTGAGCCGTCACGTCAACACGAGGATCGGCGACGGTCTGCGGCGGCTGACGGAGCCAACACCGTCGATCCGAGTCCCGCATCCAACACGGCGACCAACACGTCCGAGACGAGGCCTGAGTTTGCCAGCAATCCGAACGAAATGATGGTCCCGAATGCATCCAAGAAGAGGCCTTCCTTTGCCAACGGTCCGAGAATATTAGTGGCGTCGAATGCATCCGGGATCATGTCTGTCACCTATGGCGGCAGGGAACACGTTGCTGCGGATAACACGGACGAGTTGAGTGAGCGCAGCGCCAATGGACACAAATCTCTCCTTTCAGAAAATGGCGTTGCAGGCAGTGGATTTTTTGGTGAGGGTGATGCGGGCGGATTGACTCAACGCAATGCCTCTGGACACGAGAGCAGACCCCAATTGCGAGAATTCACCGCGCAGTATTCCGGGAGCGGTGTGAGTCTACACGACTGCTTTGCCCTGCACAACGACGCGAAATTGACACTGCGAGAGTTAACTGTTGGCAGCACTGTGCGTGTGTGCGTGTGTTGGGTGTTGCTGCTTCTTCTTGGATTGTGTGGAGTTGTGGCGGTATTGTGAGCCGAAGAGTGTGGCATTGCGACTCCTCGCGGAGAACATGTGCCGCGTTCCCTGCGTGTTTTCTTTTATTATTTACATTTCACTGTTGGCTTTGTTGCCTTCCTGGAATGATAAGCATCCTTGCTGTTCCTTTATTTAATGGTCGGTTGCTGCACACTGTCATGGGTGACGTGCTTCTCCTCTTGTTTTGTTTTTGTTGTTGCCCACACGCGGTGCCGGCCTCATTGCTGTGCGTCCCACGGACTGCACGAAAGGAGGAGCGGAGGGACAGGCCGGATGCCGCAATGAAATGTGAAGAGAGTGTTGTGTGGGCTGGTGGAACAGTACGATCTTTTTTCTTCTTACTTTTCTTTTCCTGGTGCGGGCAATGTGTATATGCACCCGGTCGTTTTTATTGCGTTGCATGGCGCATGAAATAAAATTACGACCTAATCTATTTTCCTAATTGTTTCTTTTGAGGGTCATGCCGGACTCTCATTTTTTCCTTTTCTTTGGTAACACACTGCAGCGTGCTTCCATTGTTACCGTATCCACTGTCACTGTGTGTCTACTTGTCCCGTTGACTGTACCTCTGCTGTCTGCGCTGTTGAAATGCCCCCACTTCTTCTTTTCTGCCAGTGGCACCGATGGTCCGCGACGGCGATTGTTTCTGTTCCCCGTTACGACGGTACGAGGGTGACTGAGCGGCGGCCTGCTGAGTGCACATGGAGGGAGCGGACTGTGTGCGCCGTGCCTCACTGTGGGTGTGGGACGCAATGCCAACCCGCCGGGGAAGCGAGAAGTGAAGGACTGCGGTGTTTACTTGTATGTGCCCGTCCCTCTCTTTGCCGCCGTGTTTGTGCTGTGCGCATGGCTCTATCCTGCGGTGCGACGTTGATGACGTTCTCTCTGCATATGCCTTATGCATGTGCTGTGCGGCGGGCTTCTCCTCTCCATGACACCGCCCTTGTGTGCGGGACAGTGAAGGGAGTGGAGATTTGTGCGGGAGTGAGGGTGGCCGTTGTTTCCGTACATTTGGATCTTCAGACACGTGGCACCACTCGGCCGCCTCTCGCAGTTCCCGGGCTGTGGATTGAGAGAATGTGAGGGTCTGCTCCAAGTAGAAGGACGACAACGAGATGCAGTGCATGACGGCCAACCTGACTGGTGTGTGGTTGCAGCGCATGGAGCACGTGCGCCAGTACGCGTTGGGCGTTGCGCTCATGATTGGCGAGGCGGCACGACGTTGCGGCGTAGCGGGATCGCATGACGGACTGCCTGTGCTGTGAGGGGCGCGTGTTGGAGTGAGCGTGGCGTGCCTGTGAGGGACTGAGGAGAGAGGGAATAACAGTAGTGGTGACTGTGGAGTGTGAGGAACGGTGCACGGGCGAGGAGCGCCCCTCTTTTGTTTTGATTTGATTGTTGTTGAACCGCGCCCACCCAAATGTTGTTGTTTTGGTGTGTGACTCTCATTGCTGGATGGGACGGTGCGTGGTTGCGTGACTTGTCTCCCCTTTTGCTTTTTGCGTTGACGGGGAGTTAGTTTGTGCTGAAGGCTACACGCAAGTGACAGGAGTGATGGCTATGATGATGACCGGCCGTGTGCTGCTGGTGTGTGCCCTCTGCGGCTTCGATTTTATTTCGTTCTCTTAGCTGTCGTCTGTGTTCTTCGCGGAAAGGCAACGGTCACCGTGGTGTGGCTCACACGGCGCATCGAAGACGCAGCTCCATGCGGCTTGTTTTTGGCCTTTCGGACGTGCTTCCAGGCCGCGGTGCCTTGCGAGGATGGAGGACAGTAGCCCGCGATTCGTCCCCTGGCCGTGTTGCGGCTGCGATGTTGGTGGCGTGCAGCCAGTGAGCGGTGAGCCTTTGGGTGCCTGGGATAAGTGTGTTTTGCTTCCCGCCAAGCAGCTGCACGTGCCGATGTGTCTCTCCCGCCGTGGATTGACCGACAGGGGATTCTCCGGCTGTGCGGGGTGGTGTGCGCCGGCGGTCGAGCGGGTGCGTCGGAGGGAAAAGAATTCAAACGGCTGGCGGCAGCGCGTGTGTGCTGCGAGGGGCGGCTGTGCCGTTTTGCATTCCGCCGGTTTTTTTGTGTGGACGTTGCTCGGTGTGTGCTGACGCGATGCAGAAGCACCCGCAGTGGCTTCTGCTTTTGATGGCAGTTGCTTTGCTTCCGGCGCAGTCCATTTTCTTTATTCCGTGTGCCTGTGTGCGTGAGTTGTTGATGTTTGGAGTGCCTGCGGTGAGGATGATGGTGCCATTCACTCTGGTTGATTGGCGGTGCTCACTGTTTCACCCCTTCTGTCGGCATGTTTTTCTTTTCATTTCTCTCTCAATCACACAAAGAAAAGAATTTAACACCAAGAGCGAATTGCTACTGTGAAATTTGACGTCTCCGAAAGGACCAACAGCACACACACCGCCCACACACGCACATTTATATGCTCTCGCGTGTTGCTGTACTCGCGCTTCAACGCGTCCAGCACAAACGGCTCGGCGGCAACACCTCCACCGTCTTCGGCTGCTGCACCACCGTGTTGTACAGGCGGTACGCGTTCCGGTACTTCCTCGTCAGTGCCTCTCCCTCCGCACCGCTCGGACGATAGTGCCATTGCGGCGCAAACGCAACCGCCACGCGCTCGTCCACGAGGAATGTGCGCGTCTCCAGCCACGCCTCCAGCGCACGCAGCACCTCGTGCACGCAGTCCATCGCGTTGGCGAGCCGCTGCCCGCCACGGAAGGCGTGCTGCACAAACGGTGCGGGGGCAGCGTCCAGCTCCGTTGCCGAAAAGTCGAGCCACATGTCCACCTGGCTGCCCTCCAGCGGCGTGCGGCCGTACAGGAAGCCGCCGCTCCGGTCAAGGCGCGCGATGTGGCGCAGGATGGCGTTGGACTCGAACACACAGCCCTCCTCCGTCTGCAGCACGGGGTAGCGGCCGCACGGGCTGCAGTTGCGGCAGCATTCCGCCGTCTCGTTCTCGCGGCCGTACTCGCACGTCTTCGGCGTCACCGCAACGTTGGCGAGGGTCGCAGCAGCCAGAAGCCTGTGCGTGCGTGTATTCCCAGCGTTTACACCACTCCACAGCGTGAGCGACATGGCATTTGGGTTTTTGTCAGCGCCTACACCTGCGGAGCAGCTGTGCAGATCAAGAGAGAGCAAAGAAAGCAACGGCAGAGAGAGGCGGATAGCACACACGCAAATTACTCATATCATCACACACACACACACGCAGCCGCGGAATGGGTGCACTCAACCACAAAATCAAAAAGGAAAACAAAACAAAAAGCCGAAGCGTGGGACGACCAGCGCACACACACTCTCATTACTCCCGTAAAGCAAAACACACACACAGAGGGAGAGAGAGAGAGGTCGCCCACTCAATGCAATAAAAACAAAACAAAAACAGTTACGGTGCTCCGCCCATGCAGCCAGGCAGGACGGCAGCGGTGCGTGTCGTGCAAAAGAGAGCACCAACGGGCCTGCATGGGTGTGCATGCATATATACAATGGGCACATTATGTGTGTGCCTCGTGGGGTGAGGTGAGGGCGAGAGTCCATGCAAGGGGACACACACAGAGAGAGAAGGACGAGTGTTTGTGCGGGCGGTGCACGGCTCTCTCTCCCTCACTCTCACGCGGCCACCACCGCAGCAGCAGCCGCACACGCAACAACAACAAGAAGAGGCAAAAGAGGGGAGGTGGTGTGGGGGACCGCGGTGCTGCTGTCACTGTCGCCTGTATTTGCGGTGGCATTTGTACGAAGGGCGTTTTTATCTTTCGCGGATTCTTCGTCATTTTCCGCGGGGTGTTCATGCTGTTGATGTTGTTGGACTTGTACTTCATCACTTTGCTGCTGCTTTTCACTTTCTTCTTCTTCTTGTCGTGTGTGTCCAGTGCCGGATGTCGTCCCTGCCGGTCCTTCGGGTAGCGAGGAGTTGTGAGCCGCTGCTGCAGCAGGCGTCTGATCTCCTGTTGGAGAGTCCCCTGTTGTGTTAGATGAATTAGTGCCCGAGGACCCCGCTGTACCACCAATTCTGTCAGCTGAAGAATCAGCACCAGGAGCAGCAGGAGCAGGACCTGAAGGAGGAGCGGGAGGAGGAGGAGCACCAGGAGCAGAAGGAAAACCGGCAGGGGGATCTGAGGGAGCAACAGCAGGACCAGAAGAAGCAGGAGAAATGCCACCGTTGCCTTGACCGCCAGCAGAAGGTCCAGCAGGACCACCTCCTCCACCGCCTCCAGAACCAGAACCTCCAGTAGAAGTTCCACTGCCACCAGAAGCCCCGGCAGCGCCAGCAGAACCAGAACCAGAAGCACCAGCAGAGCCAGGAACAGGTCCACCAGAAGCACCAGTAGCACCACCAGAACCATCACCAGCAGAGGCACCAGCGTCGGAAGTCTTACTTGAATTCGAATTGTTCTTTGGTGCGAGAGCATCACCTTTTCCAGCCGAGGCTTCGACGGCAGTAATGGGCAGTACCGACCGCAAAGGCACCGTAATCGCAGTTTTATTGCATCCGTCAGGCATGTGGGATCCATTCTCACCCAACACTCCCGACGCCATGCAGCCACCCAGTGCGTTGGTGTCAACGTCCCTCGCATAAACACCGCCGGCAACGCACCACAGCACGCAGAGGGCACACACCAGCAGCACACGGCCGGTCATCGTCATCGCCATCACTCCTGTCACTTGCGTGTAGCCTTCAGCACAAACTAACTCCCCGTCAAAGCAGAGTGAAAGCAAAAGGAGAGAAAAGTCATTCAACCACGCACCGTCCCATCCAGCAATGAGAGTCACACACCACAACAACATTTGGGTGGGCGCGGCTCAACAACAATCAAAAATCAAAAGAGGGGCGCTCCTCGCCCGTGCACCGTTCCTCACACTCCCACAGTCGCTGTTACTGTTATTCCCTCTCTCCTCAGTCCCTCACAGGCACGCCACGCTCACTCCAACACGCGCCCCTCCCAGCACAGGCAGTCCGTCATGCGCTCCCGCTGCGCCGCAACGTCGTGCCGCCCCTCCTCCCCAATCATGAGCGCAACGCCCAACGCGTACTGGCGCACGTGCTCCATGCGCCGCAACCACACACGGATCAGGTTGGCCGTCATGCACTGCATCTTGTTGTCCTCCTTGTACATGAAGCAGACCCTCACATTCTCTCAATCCACGGCCTGGGGACTGCGAGAGGCGGCCGAGTAGTGCCACGTGTCTGAAGATCCAAATGTACGGAAACAACGGCCACCCTCACTCCCGCACAAATCTCCACTCCCTTCACTGTCCCGCACACAAGGGCGGTGTCATGTGGAAGAGAAGCCCGCTGCACAGCACATACACAAGAAGACACACAATAGCCGTGCCATCGACGTCGCACCGCAGGATAGAGCCATGCGAACAGCACAAACACGGCGGCAAAGAGAGGGACGGGCACATACAAGTGTATACGGCGGTCATTCACTTCTCTCTTCCCCGGCGGATTGGCGTCCGACACTCACAGTGAGGCATGACGCAAACCCTCCATGTGCACTCAGCAGGTCGCCGCCCAGTCACCCTCCTGCCATCGCAAAGGGGAGCACAAATAATCGTCGTCGCGGACCATCGGTGCCTCCAGCAGGAAAAAAGATAAAAAAAGGGGACGAGGGGATGTCAACAGCACAGCCAACAGAGGGACACTCAACGAGACACTGTGAAAGGCACTGACGGTAAACACGGCACAAACAAAAAACAAGCCACAGGTATTTGCAAAATAAATAAATAAATTTGTGAGTCCACCAGAACTCACAGAATAAAAAACTTCTCCAGGCAGGACTTTTATTTCATGTGCCATGCAGCACGAAGCGACCGTGTGTATATACATATTGCCCGCACCAGGAAAAGAAAAAGGGAAATTAAAATAAATAAAAGAGATTGCGCTGTTCCACCAGCCCACACAACATCCCTCACATTTCATGCGGCATCCGGCCTGTCCCTCCAATCCTCCTTTCGTGCAGTCCGTGGGATGCACAGCAATGAGGCCGGCACCGCGTGTGGGCAACAAAAACAAAAGCGAACAAGAGCGAGAAACACGTCACTCATGACAGTGTGCAGCAACCGACCATTAAATAAAGGAACAGCAAGGATAATTATCATTCCAGGAAGGCAACAAAGCCAACAGTAAAATGTAAATAACAAAAGAAAACACGCAGGGAACGCGGCACATGTTCTCTGCGAGGAGTCGCAATTCCACACTCTTCGGCTCACAATACCGCCACAACTCCACACAATCCCAGAAGAAGCAGCAACACCCAATACACGCACACACGCACAGTGCTGCCAACAGTTAACTCTCGCAGTGTCAATTTCGCGTCGTTGAGCAGGGCAAAGCAGTCGTGTAGACTCACACCGCTCCCGGAATACTGTGCGGTGAATTTTCGTAATTGGGTTTTTTCGTTTCCAGAGGCATTGCGTTGAATCAATCCGCCCGCATCACCCCCAGCAACAAATCCACTGCCTGCAACGCCACTTTCTGAAACGAGAGATTTGTGTCCAGTGGCGCTGCGCTCACTCACCTCGTCCGTGTTATCCGCAGCAACGTTTTCCCTGCCGCCATAAGTGACAGACATGATCCCGGATGCATTCGACGCCACTAATATTCTCGGACCGTTGGCAAAGGAAGGCCTCTTCTTGGATGCATTCGGGACCATCACTTCGCTCGGATTGCTGGCAAACTCAGGCCTCGTCTCGGACGTGTTGGTCGCCGTGTTGGATGCGGGACTCGGATCGACGGTGTTGGGTCCGTCAGCCGCCGCAGACCGTCGCCGATCCTCGTGTTGACGTGACGGCTCAGCATTGACTTGCGGCGCAGTTGTCCCACCAGATTTTGTGTCATCCTTCCCTTCACGGGGTGGTGGCAACTGACAGATGCCCGTCTGGTCAGCATCGCCGCTCCGTGCAGGCGGATGGATGGTTCCGTCGGGGAAATTGACGCCACCACAATTCACAAGGGCCGGCGTATTTATGTGCCGTCACATTCATCGTGAAGGCAACGGTGGCCCCTTCCTCTTCCGCTGCACAGCTGGCAGCACAGTTGCTACATGTGTGCACCGCATTGGCCACATGGCACACAGCACCCAGCTCACCATTCCTGCTGTGCATGCGCACATCAAAGCCACTGAAAGTGTAATTCTCATGCTGAGCCTCAGCACTGGCTGCAGAACACTTCTTCCACGCCCACACACACACGCGATAGCTCAGGCTGCCGTCACTCGGAGCACACGACACATCCACTGGCACAACCACCGCATCCGCATCACCAGATATATCTCCAGCACTCCCAGCAGCCGTCACACACACGGACGAGCAGCAGCAGCACAAGAGCGCAAGGACCAACACGGCGCCGCACCGTCACCATCGTCACCATCGCAGTCATCGTCACGCGTAGTGGAGTCGCTGGATTCAGTCAGCTGATCGGTGAGGCAGAAGAAAAGGAATGGAACAAGAGTGAGAGGGACGGAGCACAGCGGATACAGCGAGAGAGCAGACAACATGAGGAGAGGGCAGCAGGCCCAGCCGCACAGTTCACACACCACGAGACGGCATCCACGCAAGGAAGGCACACAACGCCAGCAGCCGCCCACCATGCAGGAGGAGAAGACATCCACCACCATCTCCATCCAGCTCATCTCCACACCCAAAGGGAAACAGCAAAAACGCCGCGGCCACCACACAACGCACACGGAGCGAGCACCCACCACACCAGCCACATGCGGAAGCGAATCCTCATCCATTAGCGACGCGGCAGAAAACTTTCCAGCCATCCCGCCCTCAATGGGACACGGAGCCCAACTCAGCGCAGTCACACGCGGTGCATCACACCCGCAGGAAAATAGACTCGGGCTGCGCACTCCTCCCTCCCTTCTTTTCATGGCCACGGAGGAAGACAACAGCCGCCACACGCAACTGCCAGCATGCACTGCAAAAGGAGCATTCATATCCACCGCAATGTGCATCTTGTGGTTGTGTGGTTGTGTGTGCCTGCAGAAACATAAAGCAAAGAAAATTAAAAAGGGACCAGAGCATGTGGAGGGACGCACAAAAATGTACAGCGGAGGTGCGTGGCGGAAACAACAACAACAACACCGCTCAAACTCATGACTGCACTGCAGCCCAAGCAATGGCAATTCAAACATGATTTATTTAAAACCAAAAAAAAAAAAATCTTTCCCCTTCGTCTTAAATAAACCCCATCACACAAAATAATTATAAATAAAAAAAAGAAATCGTCCATTACTGTTCCACACAAATTTAAAAAGCAGCCGGCTGCCGTGTGGCCACACCAAACTGTCCGCATTTATTTTGCCCGCAAAAGAAAATTAAAAGATATTTAAATGTCTTTCAACCGTCCGACCCTCTGCGTGTCCGCACATCGTTTATATTTCATGGGGTCATCTGCGTGTTGCTGCTCCCCTCAGCCCTCTCATCGGCGCGTGAGTGCGGCCCGCAGAGCACAGTCACTCGTGTGTGTGGGGACTGAGAGAAGCACGCAGACATGACGGGAGTCGCGTCACTCCATCGGGAGAGTGAGCGCAGCAAAAAAAAAAATCATCGGAGGGGAAAAGAAATGCTCACGAGGCCGACACCGAAGGGACTGCCGGCGCGAGAAATGCACACGCAAAGCAAAAAAAAATTACTTTAAAGAGAAACACGGCAGCAGGGTGTGGCTGTGTGTGTGTGGCGCTGCGGGTGTCTGCCAGCCCTGGCCGCAAAGAAAACAAAACAAGAGGGAAGAAATGTGTGCGCCGCCCCACAGGCCCTCGTCGCACGCCCACACGTCACGGCTCCCTCAGCGCGCCGTTCGTCGCGGCCCCTCATCATGCGTGCAGCAGGCGAGGCGCACAGGGCCGTCGTCATGAGCGTGTCGGTGGTGTGCGAGTGGAGCAGTTGGGCGGAAACAAACGGCACCCCTCGCAGGAAGAGTGCAGCAACAAACAATTAAAGAGGGAAGAGTAGAAAAGAAAAACGTCCATAGTGATTGCCCCGAAAGCAAAAAAGAAAGAAGGAAGGGATTTAAAAAAAAAGAATTTTGAAAAAAGACACACACATAGAGTCGCGCAACACAACAAAACTTAAAAACGCACAACAAAGCAAACAGGGAGAAAAGCAAATAAAAGTTATTTGTGAAAATAAATTCATTAACAGGTGTGTGTGTCGGTGCAGGGGAGGGCGCAAGTGTTCCACGCGGCAGCCAGTCACTCCTCACAGAGCCGCAAGTCCCCACAGTCCCAACAGCAGAAGAAACAGCGATGGCACCATTCCGCTCTCACTTACAGTGCCGGCATCGCTGTTATTCCCCTGGGGCACATTTCCGAGGCTGCTGCTGAGCGCTGTGGCATTCACTTCCCTGTCCTGTGGATGGATCTCTTCCTCCTGCCCATTTATTTTTTCCGTTGGCTCCCCACTCTCACCAGAGCTCACGCCCGCCTCAGGATTCACTGTGGGTCCATATTGCCCCTCGCCCTCAGTGGTGGAAGTATTTGCATCTGCTGCGTCAGAGATACCCACAGGAATTTGCGGTGATTCATTTCCCTGCGTCGTGTCTCCACCCACTGTCCCTACCGCCGGGTTACCATCAGACGAGGAATCGGCATTCACACTTTCGTTTCCATCGTGAGATCCTCCCGACGGCAACTGCTCTGCAGATTGACTCCCCACTGAGTGAGTCGTCATAGTGGTCTTTGCAGAATTGGATGCACCACCACTGCCCGTACCTTCTTCTCCTTTCAACGGTTCAGGTTTCAACGGCTGTTGCCCATGACGAGTGGTCTCGGACACGGCTGCCAGCGTAGGTTGTGTGTCTACATCTGGTGAAAGAGTATCTCGTGCCACATTTTTCAGATCTGTCAGCCTTTGAATAAAACGTTTGTTCGTGTTAATCGCAGTAATCTCTGCGTCATTCAACGGACGGTTGTACAGCAGGACATTCGTCACCGTCACAGACACGTCTTCTTCGATCCCTGCGCCGCCTGCACTGCTTCCATCCCCTCCAATGTAGAAGTGGGAAATCTTTTTATCTTTCTCATTTATCAAATCACATTGTGCATCTCCCAATACAGGCTGACCATCGACGTACGCAGAGCCTTGGGTGCCGTTCCGTAACAAAATTACCACGTGGTCTTTCTTCTTTGTCTCCTCCCAATCGCTGCTGAGCTCCTTGTTCTGTCCGTCACCGCAGAACACTATCCGCCACTTCTTCTTTTCCTTCTCGTACGAGAGTCCCAGAAGTACTGGATTATTATCGTCATTCACCTTTACACCCATCACAGGAATAGGATTATCTTCCTTCGGCTTACCGTCGATGGACACCGTCGCCACAAGAGTGAAGTTGTAGTTCGCAAAGTGGTACAGCTGATTCTCCCCCTGCTCGCCAACAGGCCACTCCGCCCACGCTCCCTGGAACTTCACGCCCTTATCCGAAGTCCCTGTGGCCGCTGCTGCACCGCCACCATTCTCCTTTACTGTGGCGTTCACCCCGAGGTACTCGTCCCTCCATGTCTTATTAGAGAAGTTGCCGGACAAAAAGCCGACCAGCCCATCCGTGATCTTAATATCAGCACTGCAGGCAGTGCCAGATGAGGTGTCCTCCTTAGCATTCTCAGAAGGGCACAGCTTGGAGACAAAGTCGTCCACTTCATTCCATGTCGTCAGCACCTCCTTCACCCGCTGCAGCTGCGCAGTCAAAAGCACGGAGACCATACCGAGTGATGCTGTATCTTTATCATCGCTCTTCTTCTCGTACAGTGCAATCAACTCATCATTCTTATCTTTACCTCCAGCACTTTTGTACAGCAGGGAGCTGGCGGTGACGTCATCATCCTTCTCGGATACCGGCCCAATATCAACAATGTGCGTATTGTCCGTCAGCCAGAGATGGAGTTTACCGTTTTCTTTTTTACTCTCCTTCTCGGAATACACCGGCAGAGTGACGAGCATCACATTTCTCTTATCACCGCCAATCGTCGCTGTGATGAACCCGCTTCTAACGCCCTTCGCTCCTTCGCCCTTTTCGTTGCCCCACACGCACGAGAGTGTCCCGAGTGCCTCCGTCCACGAATCCCCCTTGTCACCGGACTCGTACACCCTGCGGCGGCCATCATCACACGCAGTCATCATCATGAGTTTGTCCTTCTCCCACTTCACGACGGAGGGAACACTGCAGCCACCGGCAGACATCCCCTTCGACAGCTTCCAAGTCGCAATGTCTGAGGAGTATATGATCAGCGAAACGGTAGTTGTCTTTACTTCCTCCTCATTACTATTTGCCCTCTTCGTGGCTTCCACAGGGAACACAAGCGTGCCGTCATTCATCTTAACACCCGATCCACCGCCGTTAATCAACTGCGTTAAGGATTCGTGTTGTTTTACAAAAAAGGCCCACGGGAGACCGTAAGTGTCACTCCAATAAATTCTTTTTTTACTGTCAACAGTACTGACGTTCCCACTCACCAGCAAAAGTCCCCAGTCACCTGCCTGACCATCAGAGGCACCTTTATTGCTGTAGTTCCCAGCAAGCATGTAAATATCGCTTCCATCCACAACCGTTGTTGGCTGGCTCACATGTACTTTCGTTTCGCTTTGGGAACCACCTTCCTTAGCAGCGCTTTGTGAGGGGAAATTGCCTTTATCGGAAGAACATTTCTCCAGTACCTGTGTCTTCAGTTTACTTTTATCCAACTCCTCTTTTGGTTTTTCGCCAGTCAACGTCAGGAGCTCCGAGGCAATCCCAGTAAAACTGCCTTCACCAGCTTCTTTTTTTCCCGTGCACTGCGCCTCAGCAACGGCAAACACATCACCATTCATCCCAACAAGACTGGGAACACGGAGAGAAATCACTGTTTCTACTTTTTCCACATCTCTCCAATCAAAATATGTCTTTGGTGGAGGTATCGGTGCTGGCGACTTCTCCTTACTGGATGCACCTCCTGTGCTGCAGCGCATCATCACGAGGAGGAGCAGCATCGCGGAATAAAGGAGATGCCGGGACATGTTGGGCCTCCGCGGCTCACTCTCTCCTCCTTCCCTCCTCCTTCCGCTGGATCCGGTCACGCGGCGACGGTTGTGTGTGCGGGGTGCCTTCACAGCAGCAACACGTGAGAGCATACAAATATGTGTGTGTGGACTGTTGTTGGTCCTTCAGTGCCTTCGAACTTCACAGTAGCGATTAGCGTTTGTTTTCCCTTCTTTGTGATTGAGAGAAATAAAGAGAAAGAAGAGGAGAAGGAGTAAAACAGTGAGCACCGCCACCCCTACACAGTGAGTGGCAGCATCATCCCCAACGCAGTCACTCCCAACAACAACAACTCACGCACACAGACACACGGGACAGGAGATGGATGTACAGTGCACCGGGAAAACACAGTGACTGCCACCAGCAGCGGCAGGAGCCACGGCGGGTGACTCTTCCACGCGAGTGCACTCACCGATCAACACCAGCACAAAAAACAACCAGCGGGATGCAAGAGAACACGACCGTCCTTTGGAAAGCCCACGCGCTTCCACCAGTCATTTTACTGTTCTCCCTTCCGGCGCACCCTCAAAAGCCCATCACCCCGCAGAGGCAATGAAGCCCAATCAGTCGATGGACAGCAAAAAAGAAACTTCGGCACGTGCTACTGGACGGGAATCTGTCAACAGTTGTCCCAGGCACCCGAAATGCCACACCATTCACTGCCCGCACGCCACCAACATCACGCCCGCATCACGTCGCCGGCAAGCATTGCGGGTTCACGACCTCCCTCCTCGCAAGAGAAGCCGCAGCAGGAATCCTGTGCGTGTGTGCGTTCTCAGTGTTCACGCCACTCCACAGCGTGTGCGACATGGCGTGTGCATGTGCTTGTGTGTTTGGCAGCGCCTATACTTGCGGAGCAGCTGTGCGCCACAAGAGAGTCTGAAGAAAGCAACGGCAGAGAGAGGCAGATAGCACACACGCAAATTACTCATATCATCACACACACACACACACACGCAGCCGCGGAATGGGTGCACTCAAACACAAAATCAAAAAGGAAAACAAAACAAAAAGCCGAAGCGTGGGACGACCAGCGCACACACACTCTCATTACTCCCGTAAAGCAAAACACACACACAGAGGGAGAGAGAGAGAGGTCGCCCACTCAATGCAATAAAAACAAAACAGAAACAGTTACGGTGCTCCGCCCATGCAGCCAGGCAGGACGGCAGCGGTGCGTGTCGTGCAAAAGAGGGCACCAACGGGCCTGCATGGGTGTGCATGCATATATACAATGGGCACATTATGTGTGTGCTCGTGGGGTGAGGTGAGGGCGAGAGCCCATGCAAGGGGAAACACACACACAGAGAGAAGGACAAGTGTGTGTGTGCGGGCGGTGCACGGCTCTCTCTCCTTCACTCTCACGCGGCCACCACCGCAGCAGCAGCCGCACACGCAACAACAAGAAGAAGAAGCAAAAGAGGGGAGGTAGTGTGAGAGACCGCGCTGCTGCCGTCACTGTCGCCAGTCGTCGCCGTTGTAGTTTTCGTGACTGTGGCTTCGACTGGCGTTTCCTTCGGATTGGCTTCTTTATTTTCATTTTTTTTTTCGTCTCGTGTCCCTGCAGCATCGGCTGCTGGATCACTGTTTGGCATGCCCTCTTCAGTGCTATTGTCAGCTTCATTATTGGCGGCATCACCGTTTGCCGTGGGTGATGGTGGCCCTGATTCTCCATGGTCGGCAGGTGGTGCATTCTGTTGATTGGCTGCTATGGAGGCAACGCTCTTTGTTTGTGAGTTGTTGTTTGAGTCTTTTTCGCTTTGGACTTCTTCTGGCTGTTTCACGTCCTCTAAAGCCTCAGCGCTGGACTGTCCATTCAGTTCTGTTGTTGTTGTTTGTACTTCTGTGTGTTTGGCCGGATTTCCACTTATATCTGTGAGTGCCCTATTTTATTTTTTTTTTTCTACTCTTACCAGCGCGTCTAGCTATACAGTGCCATCTGAGTGCCGAAGAGGTGGTCGAGCAACGACAAAAGTTTCCTGCTATGAAGCAACTGCCATTGAGAGAACTTTCCGAGGCGGAGGTCCTGTTCAATGCCCAGCCGTCGGCGCACAGCCAAGGTGCCCGGACATTCTAGAAGCAGATGGTGCAAGGTTTCCTGCGGGCCGATTGGCGTGCTTGTGGAAGCTGGCTGATCCTGCGGCAGCAGAGATCGCCTCCTGGCACTGCTGTTTCGATGCCGTGTGGCGTCTGGGTTGTGTGCGCAGCGACTTCTGTGCTGTGCGGTGCTTCTCCGTGTGGGAAAAACCATGTTACAGAAATCACATTTGAGTTCGGGAAGCGGTGGAGGATGTTCCGGATGAAATGACCGACAGTGACTGACGAGACCCGACAATCCCGTCAATGTGGTATCACAGTGCGGACATTTCTCCTTCCGACGGCGTGTGAGGGTACGTCTCCTTACTGGAGAGACGTCTTCCTCCCTCGCCGACGGGGGAACAGTGTCCGTCCCCGGTGCAGTTGGATCGTTGTTAGAGCGCATATATGCAGACTGTTCCGGTGAGATGTTGCAGAAACGGCATTGGTTCGTGCAATCTCTCACGGCCCAGCATAGTCGGCCCCAGAGCTCAGATTCCCCGCACCTTGCCCTTGCGAGGTGAACCAGTTCCTGACGGTGAAGAACTTCCTGAGTGATCAGGTCCTTACCGCTGAGATCGGATGGCCTTGTGCCGCAAAGCAAGTAGCGATGAGTGTCTTGACGAATGGTACTACGCCACTTTTTGGTGAGCTGGGTAGTAAAACATGTCAGCAAATCCGTATGCCATAAAGGTGCGATTCCTTGCTCCGTGTATTGTCCACTTTCCATAGTCTGCGTCGCATACTGATCTGCAAGCTCGTTAGCATGTACTCCACAATGTCCGTAACAAAACTGCAGGTGCACGGACCAGCCGGCACGCGTCAGTGTTAATAGACGCTGCCAGATCTGATCCTCCGTCCAGTCTGTCTGACTGAGCGGGCCCTTGTTTAGAGCCGCTAGAAGAGACTGACTGTCCGTAACCACAAGCAGGGTTTTACGCCTGTGGCGGATACGAGGGATCATCAGCTTCTCTAGGGCTAGAAGCAGCGCACGGGATTCCGTCCTGCGGCTACACTGGCGTGCACCGCAGTTTATGCTGGCCTTTTCTATTATCTCCGATGAGTTGAGGGATGAAAGCAGTATTCCAACCCCTGCTGACTTGGGAACGTCGACACCGCCATCGGTCGCAAGTATCCACGAACGATGGCTGTGCAGCGCCAGAGCCTCTTCGCTGACTCTGCGCTTTTCCCGTATCAGCTCTTCTTCGTCAGTTATCGAGAGGTCTATCGGAAGTTCCACACCGATGGTGACCCGGTGAGCGGAGGCCGCAAACCAGGGAGGAATGGAGCTGCGAAAGAACAGCCCTTCGCGTGGTGAGCTCTCGGTGATGCCATAGTCCTTTGTGTATGCGTCTACGAAGGCATATAGCTCGTCCCGAGATAATGGCGGGATGCAGAAACCGGCGCGAGGCGGTGGCTCAGGCGGGGGTCTCCGCATCCAGTCCGTCTGACATGCGCGTGTGTTCTCAAATATGGAGAGCCGCGCGCGCAGGCAAAGGACATGGAGCGGCGGCATATTAGCCTCCAGTAGCGCGGATTCCGGGTCGACAGTGCTCGGAACTCCGCTGACAATGCGTGCTAGAGTTGCGTACGTCTTCTGCATCTCATTCTTCGCTGAATCCGTCGCTACTGCCCATATGAGCTCGCTGCCATAGCGTAATTTGGAAGCACCGTATCCAATGACGAACGTGCGTAGGTCATGTGGAGATGGTCCCGCCTCTTTGTGCGCTATGCAGCGTGGCTACGATATCCGTTGCGAAGTGGCAGCGCATTGCTTGGTGGCCGCCACATTTAGCGTCAGTTGTGGATCGAGATCCATGCCGAGAAGCTTCGTAGTTCGCGATGCCCCCATGGTCATGACTGGGATTTGACATCCAGCCACTACCAGCGGCCACCTTCCTTCACGATCATAATCTGACTCCGTGTGCGTGGATAGTGTGAACCAAGCGGCTTCACACTTTGACGGGTTGATGGCCAGGCCATTTTCCTGACTCCACGCATGCAGTTTTCCAAGAACCATGTTGGCTGCGGGAATGACGTCTTCCCGGGACTGCCCCTAACGATAATAGAGAGGTCGTCCGCATACATGTCTGCTGTGACACCCGCAAAGCTGTTCAGCAGATTGAGAAGTGGGTGTGCGTAAAGGGAGAACAAATACGGTCCCAGCACGGACCCCTGAGGAACTCCTCGCAGCATGGGACGCCGATCGCTGTGTCTGCGGCCAACTCGTGTCCTCGCGTAGCGACCACATAGAAAGTTTCTAAGCCACCTTCTACAATTCACCCCCGGAATATTAGCCAGCAAGCGACTGAGGACTCGATGATCGATGGAGTCAAAAGCCTTGCTGAAATCAACCAGCACCAGCAGGGTCCGATGGGGTCTGTAGTGGAGTTGATTGCCAATACCGCTCTTCTTGGGAAGGCTCACTTGGAAATAGTGATTTCTATTATGCTCCACTTCGTGTATCAGGTGTGCCAGCTGCATCGTCGTGGTACGCACACTACGATATGCATACTGGTGGGGGTGCGGCGTCCACACCCAAAGCAATCTCTTCAGTACCATTTTCTCAGCAACCTTACTCACAATGGAAGTGAGGCTGATGGGTCGATATGACTCAAGCAGTTCCGGCGACTTACCGGGTTTTAAGAGTGGAACGATGGTAGCGCGTCTCCACTCAACCGGAATCGTACCGGTCGTCCAGCTGTGGTTAATGCGACGAAGAAGGAATCGGAGGCCCTTTGACGAAATATGTCGCAGTGCCTCACTGTAGACTTCATCCGGTCCGGGGGCCTTGCCATACGGCGTATTACGTAGCGCAGCAAGCAGTTCCGTACGATTAAAAGGTGCATCAAGAGGGGAGTGAAGATGACAACTAAACCAGATGTGGTGGCAGCTTCGTTTTTATCCTGTGGCTCAGAACTAGATGAGAGTGAAGAACCTGAAGTAAATGTAGCGGCAGACTCGTTGTTGTTCTGCTGCCCAAAAAGAAAGGAAGCATTAATGTTCAAGGATGCAC